TATCAACAAAGTTAGTCATTCAGTGGTTAGCAAATGCTATTTTATAATGTTTTATTTAATTCTTAACAAAAGTTTGGTACAATGCATTTGTCATTGTCTCTTGGTGTGTGCTTGATTGAGGTAAATCATCTCATTTCAAGTTGTGTACTAAGAGACTAATGCGAAATGCTGCCAAAATTTTGTCAAGTATAAAATAACACATTTATGCAACAATTGTTAATTAAGGTATGAAAAACTTTGTTTTCAAATGGGATAGGGCCCTATCATGTGAGACTTAATAAGACATTCACATTTGGTTTGTCATAACCGTAGTTAGAGCAAATATGGACCGAAGTAGGATGGTTGTTGATCGTTTGAGTGAAGAATATGAAGATGGAATGAAGGAGTTTATTAGATTTGCGATTAAGCATGCAACTGATCTCAACCTTATTCTATGCCCTTGTTGGTGTTGTTTGAATATGATGCAAGTAAATGCGGAAGAATTGGAAGAACATCTAATGTGCAATGGGATTGATGAAAAATATACCTGTTGGACAAAGCACGGTGAGATACAAGGTGGAAGTATATCACATCACATGGGATCAAGTCTCTATTTCTCCAAGACATTAAAAATAGATGAGAGTGATAATGTTGAAGACATTCCAAATGTTGTTGAAGAGGATCTTAGAGATTGTCCAAAGATGTTTGAGAGGCTAAAAGATGATGCAGAAAAACCATTGTACAATGGATGCATAAAGTTCACGAGATTAAGTTCTGTGTTAAAGCTTTATAACTTGAAAGCAATGAATGGATGGACTGATAAAAGCTTCACAGAGTTACTAACTTTATTAAATGAGATGCTACCAGAGGATAATGTGCTACCTACGAGAACATATGATGCTAAACAAGTACTTGCTTCCATTGGATTGACCCATGAGAAGATACATGCTTGCCCTAATGATTGCATTTTGTTTCAAAAAGAGTATACATCACTAAGCCAATGTCCAAAGTGTAATGAGTCACATTACATAAAGAACAAATCTACACTTGCAAAGGTCATGTGGTATTTTCCAGTAATTCTGATATTAAGGCGCTTATTTCGCACTGCAGAAAATGCAAAGCAATGACTTGGTATGCTGAATGCAGAATTAGAGATGGGAAGCTTAGGCATCCAGCAGATTCTCCTCAGTGGAAAAAATTTGATGATGAATATGAAGACTTTGCAGCAGAAACAAGGAATATACGCTTTGCTTTGGCAACCAATAGAATGAACCCTCATGGCATGCAAAGTAGTACCCATAGTACCTGGCCTATGATTTTATTAATATATAACTTGCCTCCATGGTATTGCATGAAGCGGAAATATATGATGCTTTCTTTGTTAATCTTTGGTCGTAAACAACCTGGAAATGACATTGATGTCTACTTGTCTCCTCTAATTGAAGATTTGAAGGGGTTGTGGGAAAACGGCATTGAAGTATATGATGGGTTTAGAGATGAATGTTTCACACTTAAGGCAATGTTGTATGGTACAATTAATGATTTTCCTGGTTATGGAAATCTTTCTGGTTATAGCATAAAGGGTCAATCTGTATGTCCAATATGTTCCAAAAATATAGATTATATCAGACTTAAACACTGTCACAAGAATTTTTTCATGGGGCATCGTAAGTGGTTGCCACGAAATCATCCTTTTAGAAAAATGAAGAAAGCCTTTAATGGAAGTTATGATGAACGACGATATCCATATTCAAAAAGTGGAGAACAACAGGTATATTTTTAGCATCAAAAGTCTTGTTTCATTGAAGGACCTCAAGTTAAAAGGGTTGAAGTCTCATGATTATCACATCTTAATGGAAAATTTGATTTCTTGCGCTATACGGTCTATTTTACCAAAAAAGGTCCGCGTTGCAATAACCAAGCTGTGTTTTTTCTTCAAGACAATATGTAGCAAAGTTATTGATCCTGCAAAATTACCAGCATTGCAAAACCACATCTTTGAGACTTTATGTGAGCTTGAAATGTATCTTCTACCTTCGTTCTTTGATATCATGGTTCATTTGACCATTCACTTGATTGAAGAGACAAAATTGTGTGGTCCTGCATATATGCGATGGATGTATCCCATTGAACGATATATAAAGATTTTAAAGGGTATGTAAAGAATAGAAGCCGACCAGAGGGGTGCATTGATGAGCGATATTTAGTTGAAGAAGCAGTTGAATTTTGTACTAAGTACATGTCAAATGTAAAATCAATTGGTCTTCCAAAATGCCATCACACTGGAAAGATGGATGGAAAAGGTAGCACTGGTTGTCAACAAATTGAGGTTCCAAGAGTACAACCGGACCAAGCACACTTATATGTCTTACATAACACCCCTGAAATTGAACCTTTTATAATAATGCACAAAGAAATATTGAAGGGTGCGAATCCAAACAGAGGTGAGAATTGGATTACAAAAGAACATAACCAGAGATTCATTGCATGGCTACAAGAGTATGTTTACGAGCATGTGTTTGAGAATAACACCCCTGAAACAGAGAAGATTCGGTGGTTATCAAAAGGTCCTTGTGTTGATGTATTTTCATATACTTCTTACTTGGTGAACGGGTTTACCTTTTATACAAAAGAGCATGACGAACAGAGTACTATGCAAAATAGTGGAGTGATACTTGTTGCTAAATCGCTTCATATATCGACTGCAAAGGATAGAAACCCTATATATGCCAATATTTCATACTTTGGGGTAATTGAACACATCTGGGAATTAGATTACACAAAGTTTTGAGTAGTAGTGTTTGGATGTAGGTGGATTGACAACAACAGTGGGGTTCACATTGACGATTTAGGATTTATAAGAGTCAATTTTAAAAGGGCGGGATATCAAAATGACTTGTTTATCCTTGTAGCACAGGCACAACAAGTGTTCTATATCCCTGATCCTATTAACAAGTCATGGAGTATTGTGTTGTTGTCTAATAAGTTTAATTCTTTAACCAATGGTGAACTAATGGATGAAGAAGTTAATGTGGAGGACGAACCTTTAAGAGGTGTACAACAAATGTCAATGAGGGATATAATAATAGATGATGGAGACCTTTATGCAAGACATGATCATGAAAATGGTATTTGGTTAAATCCATCATTTCATTCCATTAAAGGGCATAGGAAACTTATTAAGCTCCCTAAGAAAAGAAAAAGGTTAATACACTTTTCGATTTAAACATAATTATATGTGTCTTTATTATTTTACATGTTCACTTCCGCTCTCCAATTTATACTAACATAAATCTATTATGCAGAGATGACATCTTCTGATAACATTGAAGGAGGTTCTCCTTCTAAGACCCAACAATTGAAGAGGAAGAGCACTCGAGGAATAACAAAATTGAAGGCAATTAGCAAGGCAAGGAAGTTAGGACAAAAGTTACAGGTATGGGTTGAATTCACCAATGCTTTTATGTGTTTTTTAATCACATATTATTAATTTCAATAAGTGTCATCACTTTATTTAAATTTTGCAGGTTGGATGGAATTGTAAAGGGCAACCAATTGACCCTAATAGATCTAAATTCTCCCATTTTATTGGATTTGTAACTAGAAGTATAGTGCCAATTAGTATATGTGATTGGACAAATGTGCCTACTAATTTGAAGGACCATATCTGGGAGCAAGTAGAGGTAAACTACAATTCTTTCTCTAAGTGTAGTATTATTAATAAATCATGTTAGGTAAAGCTCATTTACTTATTTGGCTTTCATTGTAGGAAACCTTTGAAGTGCAAGAAACGCACAAAGTCTTTGTACTTGCATTAGCTGGACGGGATCTCCGTGCATTTCATACACAGATGAGGAAGCATGTCTTTGATAAAGACGGTAGTTGTCTCCCCCACCCTCCTGAGAAGTATCAGAGATTCATTACTGTCACTGATCACTGGAACGAGTTTGTAAAGCAAAGCTACACAGAAGAGTTTAAGGTAATATAAATACACTTTTATTATATATTTCTATTATCTGTGTTTGACTTGGTAATCTCTGCTGATATATTTTTGTTTTCATTTTGAAAAATAATATTTAGAAAGAAAGTGAGGCCAATGCTGCTAGGGCAAAAGGGATGTCGTATAGATCTAAGGGATATGCTCAGTTGGAGCAGGAATTGGTACTATCTGTAGTATTTTGATATATGCATTTATTAGGTTATAGTCTTATGTAATAAATGTTGACGAGTTGTAATTAATTAATGCTCATTTTTTTGTAGATTGCTGCCTCTAGGTCTAATGTGACCCTGTACCTCGACATGTCTTATGGAAGGCTACTAGGGTTAATAAGCAAGGTGAATTTGATGATGAAGGAGTTCAAAAAATGGTTGCTGAATTTGTAAGTATAAATAACATGGTTCATTTTGAACAGAACCTTTTATATACTGATCATAATTTTGTTTTGTTCGTTATAGGAAACCCTTTCACAGGTGGTTATGGAGGCTGAGTCTGAATCAACGCCAGAAACGACATATTGGGTAAAGCTCTTGGTGTAAGAGAACATCCTAGTCGTGTAAGAGCTGCAGGTTTTGGAGTTACCCAAAAGGCTGCATTCGGCTCAACAGCTTCACATCCACACCTATCATCTACTGAGTGGCAGAACATGAAGCATTGGGTAGCGCATCTAACAAGTGTTGTGGCACAGTTGATGGGGGTCAAGGACTGCCCCATTTCATGTCTGGTGAAATGCCTTTCAACCCTACTGCCACTCCACCACCATTTATGCCTACTTCCATGCCACCACAAATGGGTATTCCCCCTCAAATGCAACAAGTGGTGGAGGGAAGGTCACTATCTGGAGCCAGAACTGCCATGTAACAGCCAAAGAGATAGTTGTACACTAGTTGCATCTGTAGAAATTCCAGAGGTACAATTCAACAACAGCAATTTAGTTACTTTTAAATTTATTGTTAATGACGTATGATTAATTTGTTATTTCTAACCTTTAATAATATATGTATTATAGGGTGATCACGATTGCATGCTATATTTGAGCACCCCATATCGCGTGGTTGCCAGAGGGAGAGTTTTGAGAATAGTGGTTGAGAACTCCTTACACAATACTGCTCTTCCTCCTCACCATTATAAGGTCTCAATAGAGATAGTGCAAAGACAGGAAGAAGACACTGCATTGCCTATTCCTAATGAAGAAGCAAACCTCAATTGCCTGAGAGATGCAATTGGAACTTATGTTGCCTGGCCATTGTCCCTAATCACTTTACGACCCAAGGTACGTAACCATAATTTTCTTTGCAGAATTCCGATGTATGCATTTAATTTTTTATTTCATTACACAAACTCTTTAATGTTATTTCAGGTTGCCCCATCATCTAGTAGAGGGTTAGGGAAAGGGACAGGTCACACAAAGGAATCCATTGCTGGTCCAAGCAATAAAGGTGTTGTTTCTAATTCGTCTGACCTTCCTGAGTTGGCACAAGCTCAAGGTGCTGCGTGCTTCGATATGATGAAGCTCTATATAAGAAGTGATCAAGTCATTGACAATGTAAGTATTCATATGACAAGTCAGCATTGGAGAAAAGAATTTACTGACATTGTGGAAAAAGAAAACATACAAGAGGTCATACGTCGCCATTGGTTGAGCGCCTCCAGCTTTAACCTTTACATTAGGTAATTCTTTAATTTATACCAATTGTATAAATATCTTTCTCCCATACGAAACTTGATGTTAACTACCTTATTTAATCTCATTTCATTCATCTTTTCAGCTACAAGATATTTGTGTGAAGCTTACTTGGAAGGGACCAATATGGCAAGTAAGTTTTCATTTATATCTCCCTATGAAATGGATGCAAACCTCAATCAGACCCTACATCAACATATAACTGACATGTTAAAGCGTCATATGGGTGAAGATCACTTGATATTTGCACCTTACAATGTTGGGTAAGTCAATCTTATGACGATGCACATAAGTTTTATAATTTTCATTATCATATTTAATTATTGTAATCTTAAACATTTGGTAGGCAACATTGGATCCTAGTTGCTATCAACACCTCTAATGAGACAATGTATTATATGGATCCCCTCTGCAAACAGTTAAAGACTAGACCACATATGTAAAACGTATTTAATAAGTAAGTATACATGTTTTTACCTGTTGGCTGGTCTATCATATATGAATGTGCTTTCGTTTAATTGTAAATTTGTTCTTTCATTTTATTGTTAGTGCTCTTGTCACATATCGAGTTGAGAGAAAAGTGCAGCCCTCTAGGACAAAGATGCATCAAACAAATTAGGTCACTATACAGGTCTCAATATCATTTGAGAAAAAACTCTTTTAACTTATTTTATAACACTGCATAATTTACACTCAATATTGTCCATTTATTAATCATGCTTTTTATGTTTTTTTCCTCCACGTACAATGTCCTAAGCAATCAAATAATGATGACTGTGGATATTATGTGTGTCTCTTCATTATAGATGCTTTGTACCATGGACAGACTACAATCCCATTTAATGTAAGAGGAGTGCATATCCAAAATTATTTTATATCACTAAGTGTTTATTAGGATAGTGTCTGCCCATTTGAATTATATCTAATATAACTACGATTTGTATTTTGTTTTCTTTTCAGTATTTTCCAGAGTTCCAATTACCAACCTTTCCTGACAACACAATTCATCAAGTTCAAAGGGAGTGGTGTGCATATATGTACCATAGATATTTGAAGGACACATTAAGCACAATTGATTCTTAGTACTTTTTTTTACAACACCTAGTCATAATTCTATCATTCATTAGCCAAAAGTGTATATACACTGCTGAGCCTTTTTAATTGTGAACGTTCTGTGTAATTGTATCTGTACAGATTCGTATGTTGCAAAATTTATTTGATTTCTGATTAATATATGTAAGTAATTGTATCTGTAATGTGGTTGGTTTATCTTTGTGGTTATCATAGGTTGTTGAAAACTGTTTGCAATATTTTATGGTAATATGTATGCAAAAAATTGGGATAGTGATATTCTGTGATAAAACCTGGCGAAATAATTTTAAATTTAAGAGAGCGGTTCAACAAGAACCGCTCTCAAAATTACACTTTAGAAAGCGGTTAAATAAAAACTGCTAAAATAACCACACCTTAGAGAGTGGTTCACGAGACAACCGCTCTAACAGTTAGAATTTAGAGAGCAGTTTGTAAAAGACCGCTCTCAGATACTTACTTTGGAGTGTGGTTAGTTGGAACTGCTCTCAGAAAGCTTGACATTAGAGAGCGGTTGGCTGAGGAACCGCTCTCTTTTCTTGACCTTACAGAGTGGTTAAGCGGGGAACCGCTCTCTAATCTAATCAACTCTTAGAGCGGTTTGGCGCTAACCGCTCTCTAAAGTGCCATTTAGAGAGAGTGGTTGAGGGGGAACCGCTCTCCAAAGGTTAACATATGAGAGCGGTTATTTAACCGCTCTAATAAATGCAAGCATTGGATAGCACAGAACTTTAAAGCACCAATAACCGCTCTCTTAAAGCCGACGGAACCGCTCTTAGATCTCATTTTTAGCATAGTGCAACACATACAAAATGAAAGGGTAAACTTATATAACTAACGATCATAGTCACGGATTATAAGAATGTATCACAAATATTATATAGCTTTCATAAATCTCGACAAACGACACAACAATTTCAGGCAATTGATGTGGCATGTTCAGCCCGTTCCCAGCTCATCTAATGCAAATGCAATATTTCAGTTCCAACCGATTTCATAGCCTAAGTAATCCAGAAGGAATTGTTTCCGGTCTGGAAGCAATCCATTCCCGTTATCTAGGTCCAGACATAGCACTAAACATTTCTATCATTACATGTCTAACCACCTAAACATGTAATTCAGCTTTAAAATGATGAAAAATCAGCATGATGTACTATATATATATATATTTACTCAGTCAGCATCAGCACTTCACATTTTAACCACAACTATAACTGGCATAGAATATCAGCATTTATCTATTTATTTCAGCATTTAAGGTTCATAGTACATGCTAAGCATTTCGCAGCGTTTATTAAACATTTTCGCATACATGTCTCAACACGACCATTTGTTACGTAAATTTGAGAGGGATACTAACTAGCAAGTGCACTAGATAGTTGTAGCAAGTAATAAAATTTGGAAATTAATATGAGCCTCAAGTATCATCCACAAGGATCTTATTTTCAATTGGCACTTCACAATTTAACAATTAGTTGAGCAATACAATTCATTTGGAAGGTTTGTAACATGTAAAAGTAAGAAATAAGAACAATAAAAGGTAATAAACTTGCTGTAAAAATAGAGTATGAATTTTGTATTAAGAATGCTATATGAAAAATAGTTAGGAATCACTTCACCAGATTTTCAATTGCAATATAATCATGTTCTGAACTCTTGAGAATTTTAATTGATTGATAATCAATTTCACTTCTTTAACCAAAGGACAATTCCTTGCCTCATTGATCCTAATATCTAATTAAACCTCCCTAATCCCTTAGGTGAAATTTAATCAAATACTGCATTAAGTTTTAGAAATTATAAGATTACTAGATCATGATACTTATTCCTAAGATCTCAATAACCTAGGCATATAATTCGGATATGAAAAATAAACTCAATTTTCATTGACGAAGATTCCTATAAATTCAATTGACTGAAGGATTAGTTCACAACTGCATTAAAAATAGAAACATATACTCAATTCAATTAAAATCTCAAGATTCAATCCAAAATTACATCACAACATCAAATCTGGATCCATAGATCCCTAACCAAAAAGGTTTAGAACAACATTACAATGGAAGAAGGAGAAGTAGGAGAAGAAGAAGACAAGAAGCAGAAGAACATCTTCCAAGACCCAATCTTCACACTGATTTCTCTAGCAATGAAGCTTGAAAGTTGCTCCCAATCTCTCTCTTTGACTTCCCTTGGAAGTTAAAACAATTACAAAGTGAAAAATAACAAAAACGAACCAAAGTCCCCTTTTCTGAACTGCTAACTTCTATTTATAATATTTTTCTCACCTTTTTCCTTTCCACATATTAATCTCTAAGAATTATAGCATAAAAGGTTTTCTAAAAGCTTCTATAATTGAATTAGGAACTCAAATCATCCAAAGTTGATACTTAGAAGTGATATTTAAAATTCTGTTACTTTTGCATAGACACTTTAAGTGGGTGATGTCAGGCTTGTGATTTATTATTGAGTAATCTATAATATTTTATACTTTTTAAATGTTAATTGAAGGATTTATTGGTATTGGAATAGATTTAGATGAATTTTTTTTTTTAAAAAAAAGTGAACAGTACTGTATGAACAATGTTAATGAACACTAAAACTACCTGTGAATAGTAAAACCATGTACAAACCGCGTATGAACAGTAAAAACCACGTATGTTCAGTGACATCATCATGACGTCATGGCTGATGTCACATACGCGAACTGTGCATGTATAGTACGCGTGCACAGTATTTTCTTGCATGAATAGTGTCCTAAACAGTATTTCCGGCATGAACAGTAAGGCGGTGAACAGTGTTTCTGGTGATGAACAGTAATTCCGGCAGTGAACAGTAAATTTCAAAAATTTTCTATAAAAAGGGGGCTTTACACGAAGTTTTCATTCCTTTACTGATATCCAAGGTTCTAAGGCCATATACCACAATTTTCCCTCATATTAAACCCTCATAAACTTAGATTTCTCGCTAGATCTGAGGTTCTACGTCTATTCTGAAGGATTTAAAGTAAGTTTCTATAAGTTTGAAGTTAGATTTACCGTTCGTTTCTCTTCTTTTTCTCTTTCTTATAGATAGTTGATGATATCTTAGGAGAAACTTCGTTCTAAAGCCGAATCTTCGGTGAATCTTGTGTTAAAACAAGTAATATTCGGTAGATCTGGTGTGAATCATCGTTCTGAGGTAAGGGAAGTTTACTTTAACCTATGAACTACGTTTTGAACGGTTTAATATGCTATTTTAAGATGGTTTGATATGATGTTGTTAGATCTATTGAATAAAAGTTATTTTCTAAGCTGTAACTGCTGTTAATTGATTTAAAATGCTGAGATTTTGGTTGATCTATTATAAACTTGCCTTAGTTGAGCTGTTAAAATAATTTTAGCAGTGTGCATCATGCTGAGATATACGTTTTGCATCATTATAAAGCCGAGTTACATGTTTAGGTGGGTAGACGTATAACAGTAAGTTCATGCTGAGCTGCTGTGCTGTGCTGTCTGGATCCAGATACCAAAATTGGTCGCTCCCGGACCAGCTCAGTTCCTTCTGGATTACCTAGGCTGTGAAACCAGTTGGAAACCGTTTTCATGCTGTGCATTAGATGGGCTGGAAATGCATGGGGCTATTGCTGTGAGAAATATTTTGCTCTATATATATGATTTTATTTTATTTTTGTAAGCTCACCCTTGCTTTTCTTTCTATGTCGTTGTGTGCGTGTGTATTGCGATGATTGTATGGTGGTACGTGAGCAGATGTAGCAAGTGTTGCATTTACTTCACAGGCTGAGGGGCCAGTGAAGAAATGTTAGAAGTTGGGGTCGAGTAATATTGCATCAAAGTCTTTTTTTCCTTATATTTTGAGACCTCATGTTGAGGGAGCTATATAGTATAATTTTGGGTATTTTGAATATTATGAACTAAATGTAATATTACGTTGTTCTGTTGGATATTTGTTGTAAGAAACTTTGTTTTATTTTAATTGAGAAGAGAATTTCATACTTATATTTTCTATTATTTATTTATCTTAAATAAGTATGTGATGTACAAACAATGTTCTTGGTTCCTTACAAAAAGGGGTCGTGACAGGTGAAGTGTCTATGCGCAAGTGTTCTATATGGGAAAAGCCTTACATGTAGCCACTCTCAGTGCTTGGAGTGGCTACACACTTACTACATAGTGACTCTAAACGCTTGAAGTGGCTACGTGCTTACTGTGTAACTACTTTCAACGCTTGAAGTGGCTATGTGCACTATGCATAAGTGAATTGGCCTTTGGGCGTAGCTACTATGTACGCTTGGAGTTGCTACTCTCTTGGTCTTCTTGGATTTTCTTATTCAAATTGTTAACTCTATGTACTCAGA